CCTCTGTCCCCAGCCTCAGGTCGGGGTCTCCGGCTCCCCTTGCCTCCTGGGCGCGGCCCTCCCCGCAGCCAGGGCCGCCCTCGCCCCCGCTTCGCGCTCCCCCTGCCCGGTCGTCCTCGCCTGCCCAGACCTTCAGCACGCAGCCTGGCAGCCAGGCATCCACGAGAAAGTTCATGCTTCGACGTTCGGCTTTACCTCTCCCAGTTTGTGGGGTACCTGCCCCTGTCTCTAGCCCCGTGGTTTAGAGACCGCGGCCTCAGGCCGGAGTTGGGACAGCCCGGCCACAACTTTCCCCGTGGCTCGCGGTCGCTGTCCAGCGCGAGTGACTGGAGCCGCCGCCGCCGCCGCCGCGTACTGGGGCTGCATCGCGGGGAAGTTAATACTTTTACAGTCTCTGCTAGACTTGAAAGGCAAGCTGGGAATCGATAGCTATTTCTGATTCTGATCGGGTTTTCCCCCACCTTCTATTTGAAAATAGACTCAGGGCAACGTTTAGGAGAATCCAAACCCAAGGAAGCCGGCAGGGAAATGCCGCCTGCTGTACCAGGAAGCTTTGCTGGTGGTCTCCCTGCCCACCCTGGGCCTGCCCGGCCCGCTGATCTCGCTAATGCCATTTTGCACTTCAAAAGAGTTGGGCGTTTAAAACCTGGAATTAGAAGGGAAAAGTGACTGTGCCTGTGATTAATGGTGCAACAGAGCGAGGCAGGCTGGTTTGGGCAAGATTCATTGTTTGCCATCTAAGAATGCAGACGCATTTAAAGCGGGGGATAACGTGTATTTTATTCCGACGATTGACCCCAGTGGCATATTCAAATGAGCGGTGTGTTAGAATACACTGTTTAATTAATGTAATTTCAGTAGTATCTTATGAGCTTTTCTAAGAGATATTGTTAAACGCCTCCAAATTTGACTTAATAATAGATCACATATGTGATTCTGGGTATTATATTTTAATGTGCGATGCAGTTCATATTGGGTTTTATTGAATAAAAGTTGGTAGTTTTTGCCATATTTTGGAGGGGTTGTTGTTTCAGAGTGCTACCACTAGAGGTACATAATGTCAAAGAACTACATTTTCTTTTTATGTTTAGAAAACTGCATTCCCCCCACCCTTGGATAAATTTAAAAAGAAAAATCTAAAATACTTAGTATTAATCTCTTAAATGTTTTTGCATTACACTTTTTCTATCCAGTAGCAGTATTTAGGACCCTAGGAACATTTTCACTTAGTAGGAAAATTTTTTAAAATGCTTTTGTGATTTTTAAAACAATAGATGAAGCATTTCGTGTCATTAAACAATGCCTGCTGTTGGTTCTTCCCCCATGAAGACACAGTTATTTTGATTAGGGGTAGGAATTGCCTGCCCCCTTCCAGTGTTTTCCATTGTATTCTACGTACTAAGATCTTCAGTAATACTCAGATTTTCTTTGCTGTAGAATCTATTTGTATTGGTGAACCTTGGGAAACTTTGAGCCTTACCTCCTTACACATTTTCATTTTGAAAATGTTAGGTAAATCTTTTTAAATGATAAATGCAATTAGTGTAAAATGTTACAGTGAACGGAATTTTATGATAGATTGTTCTGATTGCTTATTTTAAAATACCGAGAATGATAAAAAGGAATACCCAGCGTTTCTTCTTTCCACGGCGGGTTGGCGGTTCTTCATTATCAAGGACAGAAACTCCCGTCTTACTGTGCCCTTATGGTTTTGTGCTTAGAAGTTCTTTCTGAATATTGAAGAATGCAATGTTGGCAGTGCTTCCCGATGATTCAGATAGGACAACTTTTATAAATATTCCTTTATTTATAAATACAGTATTTGTAGTTTTCCTCAACTGAGGAAGGAGGAAATTTTTCTCATAAGTAAATATGTGCATTTAAAAATTCTTTTCTCAAAGCCATGATCTCAGCTCCTTTCTGTACCTGGTAGACTGGCTTGACTGTGGCTAATAAGCACCGCCTTCTCTCTTGGGTTGCAGTGGCTGCTGGGGGGCCATTCTGCGTCCCTAGGACTGCCGCCTGCTTCCACCGTGGAGTTGGTGCCCATCTTGCCACACATCGGTCCTTCTGCTCTTCCACCTCCTATTGGGAAAAGTTGGATAGATAAAAGGATACCTAATTGTAAGGTAAACATGCAAGTAACTTAAATGGATTAAGTGGGCTTTTAATTAAGTTGTTGGGCATTGCTACAACAACAACAACAAATACAATTTCTAATTGCAATTAATTGTCCTTCTAAATATAGAAAGAAATAATTTTGGAATTAGACTGATCTATTCCAAAACACCATTCAGTTGGGAGGGGTATTAATATTTTGTTTTTGCTTACAATACTTGGATTCCATGGAGCAATGTAAAATTTTCAATTTCTGAATCAGAATTTTATTTTTTTTTAAAGTCTAGAACCATGTTCAAAATCTAGCCTTACATGGTATATAATGCAAGTTAAAATTTTAAAAGTGAGTTTATTGCTTTGTATTTTTATAGTTCTGATATTTTTCACTTTTGAATTCAAATTTGCTGACTACATTTCACTTACATGAAAACTGAAGAAAATGTAATACTGGCATCCATTGTACAACATGCTGACGATCCCATTGTGGAGTCTTTATTCTGTCAACTGACCACTGACCTGAGTTGACCAATCAATAGTTGAAGAAGCGCCCAGAGGACTTTAAGTAGTAGATGGTGCATATCTGAGCCCTGTAGATCTTTCTTTTTTTACGTTTTAAAATAATGATATTGTAGAGTCCCCATCAATAGATTGTCCAATATTGGTTTAATGTGAGACAATGCAAATATTTACATAGCCATATTTAGTGTTTATCATGTGCCTTACTTTAAATGCTATGCTTGCATTATTTTTGGACAGATCTTTTTAAATAATTCCTTTGCTCTGGAATCAGCGTGGATACATCCTGAGGAGCCAAGATTGTTCCACGGGCATGAAAAGCCTCATTTGCTGGCCAGTCAGGTGGCTGTGTCTCTGTCCAGGCCAGCTCCTATCTCCAGGCCTCTTCCCACAGTGGTGGTAGCGTCTCAGCCTATTCCAGGTTGGTGCCCAAATCATACTGACAATGTACACATTCATTCTTTTGCTTTCGTCATAAGTGAGTTTTATGTATGAAATCATACTTGTTACTTTAATGAAGTAATTCTGTTGGTAAAACAGAATTTTTTTACATTGGCATGAACCTTTTTTTATTAAAAAACAAGTCTTGGGTAGCTTATTTGCTTTTTTTTTTGAGTATAGGATCTATTTTTAAGATGAAGCTATGGCTGAGGGGCTGTGTACAAAATTGTCCTTGCAACGTCTATTTTTAGGATTACACCACAATTTCTACTGATATCTTTTAATGGAGCACTAATTGATCAGTCAACCCATTAAAAAACCTTACTTGTCTGGACTGAGGGGCATGCAGCGAAGTTCTCTCATCTGTAGGACACAGCTGCATAAATGATTTCTGTGAATTTTGTCTTCATGTGGGGGCTGATAATGGAGATGGGCTATAAAGTGCCCTGTTTAGAAGACAGATTTCATTCTATCTCTGGAGTCTAGTGCCCCGAAAGAGCATTTGTCCTGGAACAGACTCCCATGAAATAATCCCTGGATGAAAGATTGTATAATAAAACTATATAGTAACAGGAGAATAAAATCATCTTATGAATTTTTAAACTGATTTTTAAAATCACCTTAACATATGGTCATTTTATAAAAGCAAAGCTGCCTGTGCCAAAATCATCTTGCAACACCTTCCATTATGGAATATTTTACGACTTTAGAATTACATTATCTGCCTGTAATTTCCTACCTACCAGGCTTGTCTCAATATGTGTCTGTAAAGTTTAGTAATAAGAAGATGTTCTTGTGGATAATGCAGTGCTGGTTTAGGAGTGTTTATTTTCTTCTCTGTTTGCCTACATGTTTGCTCCAGTTGGCTATGAATCTTGTTTGGTAATAAGCCAGGGAGAATGACTGATCTATTTCTCACAGGCCTTAATGACTCTTGAGTGAAACTCACGCTTTCCTTGTGATTATTTAGTGATGTAGTGACTGAATGAAGTCTGAGTGAGGTGCGTGCACCCGGCATAAACACTGTGCTCAAGGACGATCATACATCCTATTTAATTTAGTGATGACAGCAGATGACTAGATGGCTTGTATGATAAGAGGACAACATGATTTGGGGTAGCTCTTTTGATATAGGAAACATAATATTTTTAATTCCCTAATCCATTGGCAAAATTACCACAAAAGTAATCAGCAAATTCAGTTTTAAGAAATCCGAAATAAGTTCACTTGTTCCAAATAAACCTTTGAGTAAACTGTCCTTTTCTTGGCGTTTCACTGAATATCGTACAGATATTTTCTAGAATTGCCTTAATCTTCTTAGGAAACTCACATTATAAATGTGCTCAATATCTATTTAGTTGGAGAAGCTTATGGCAACTTCTTGTAGACTTTATATCTTATGGACATTGTTTACTTACTATTTTATGGCAAATATTTAATGCTCTATTAGAGTCAAATTTTTATTAATTTTGCCTTTTTTGACTTTTTGACAAATGTAAGAAATATTAGAATAACTTTTCACTATAACCTAGTTTATTATCTGTCAAACCTTTGCTTTTTAGCTTCCCTATTTTTCTTTTGACTTATGGATCATAAGTAAATATAACAATACAGTTTTATTTATCTTTTGGGGAGAGATGTACCGGACCCCAAAGGTAATTTTATAATAATTCAATGCACCTGTTTTGAGATGGGAATTTCTGGATTGCTTTACAAAAATTTGCTTTTTTAATAGATTTAAAAATCCTTAGAAATTACCCAAATTTGGAAAGCATATATTGAGTGTTCCTTAGTTCAAGGAACACCTTTAAGAGGTGGTGTGTATGTTACTAACTGCTCATCAGAGTGTCTGCCTGGCAACTGTGGAAGAGAGGGTGAACTCCCAGCCAGCTGAAACCAGGGCACACCCTTCCCATCTCACTGTAATCACTGAGAAAATACAGATCCATTAAGATGTTTACATGTAAATCCTCATATACATTGTTATTAAACTGTCACATCCTGTTATATAGTAATCAACCTGTATGTTATACTTATTTATATTATAAGCATATTATAAATTGTATAAATATATGTAAATGTGTAATGCATAAATATATAATCATTACATTATGTTGATCAATATAATTGTAAATTCATATATTCAGAAATAAGTGGCCTCAGAATCAGATATGTTTTATTGATCTCTTTGAAATTAATCAAAGAGACCAAATTAGAACTCCCAGAGCACTGGAAGAGTGAATCAAACCCCTTCATTTCAAGCAGGCTTTGTGAGCTAAGCTCAGTTTTTTCTTGGCCAGTAGTAATTTTTAAGCACTCATCACTCCTTGAGCATTTCTTTATTTGCACAGTTTCAGGGACAATAGCTATCTGACCATGAACTCAGGGTAGCAGCAAGTGTTTTTCTCAGAGTAACGTGCCGTTGTTGAACTCAGTTGGATCCCTCTGGGTAGAGATATAGGTGGGTGACTTCTGAGACCACAATTTCCCACCCCTCATTTATTATGGGCTAAGAATTGAGTGCCTGGCATAGGCCTCAGACAATATGAGCACAACTTGAGTAGATTTGGATAACCCATCTAAACTTTAATAAATATTATAAAGAACATTATTTTCTAAATGTACTAGACCCCTTATGATGAGAATAATGATAACCGTCTGCTGATATACATAGATCCAAAAAACCCCAGAGGCCTGTTGACCTTTCTAAGTGTAGAAACCACAGTTAACATCCACGGTCTTTCCTCTGCTCCGCAGGCAGACTGTCTTTACACACTTTTCCTGTAGGCCTGGCACCACGAGCCTGGCTGTATGTGTCTCTTGCATTGACCAGCTCAGGCTGCTATGGTTAAAGCAAAGGTAGATGGGGGCTTAGAATAGACATTTGTTTCCCATGTTCTGGAGACTGGAAGTCTGGGACCGGGATGCCCACATGGTTAAGATGTGGGGCTCTCTTCCTTCTTACTGTGTCCGCACGGGGGCGGGGGGAGGGAGCAGGCAGCTCTCTGGGACTCTTTCATAAAGATGTTGATGCCATCATGGAGACCCCACACTCATGACCTCCTCTACCCCAAATCACCTCCTAGTACCATCAGCTGAGGATTAGGGGTTCAACATATGAATGGGGAGGGCACCAACATCCAGTCCATGATAGCACACACTAACACACAGACGTACATGCACACAGGCATAGACGCACAGTGCGGGCATGCACACACTAACACACACAGACGTACATGCACACAGTCTAGTGGCAAACAGGCAAGTTAGGAGACAGTGACCCAATGAGGCAATGAAGTGTGATCTGGGCGGGCGACAGGTGCCTGGGCCCTTGGAGCCTCTATACACAGGATGAGATCACCTTGAACTGGTACCTGGAGTCTTTGGCTCCATCAGAAAAGTGCAAGTTCATCCTCAGGCATCAGAGAAGCCCCTGAGTGGGCAGAGGGCATTCTTCTTCATAAAAAGCCCAGGTACACAGAAATACGTGGGGACAACTGTGCTCAGGTCTAAGGTCTCCGATTAATGATTGAGTGGCTTTTAGAAAATTGGCCTAGTTAGTGTGAACAGGTTGAATTGAGAAATGATTTAAGACTCATTTATTCTCCAGCCTCAGAGTTTGATTCAGGGCCAGGCATGGTGTGGCCACTTGTCCCAGAGCAGAGGCTGCCCCCACAGGAGCTTCTGGTCATCTGAACTGTCCTGCTCCAGCCCCTGCTCCCCAGAGTGTTGTGTGTCTGTCTTCCTCACGGGCAACAAAGGAGGTTGCAGGTCAGGACAGTGTGGGGTAAAGGTGGGGCCGGGGGAAAAGGCACTTTCCAAGGAGCTGCTGTTCTACTTCTTAAAATAATTCAGACTCCTTTGAGCTACTCAGAAATGAAGTTACTTACTCTGAGAGTATGAAGAAATAGGAGGAAAAGATAATTTATTCATCTTCTGTCCCATAAAGACACAGGAAATGAAAGTGTCTTGCTAGAAGGTAGAGATTTGTCTAAAAGTTGCCCATGTCACATTGTCCCTCCACGTAAGATCAAAGAGTCCGATTCTGCAAACACTATCTTGGGTGGAAAACAGAACAAAACAAAACAAAATACTGTCTGTGCCTCTCCTCATTCAAAGAAGACGAGACCGAGAGAGAGAGCAGAGGAGCAGCTGGGGGATGTGAAATATTCTGCTTCACGAAAGATTCATCTACTCGAAAGATCCAGGAGAAAAACAGATCTGGGAAATGGATTTTGCACAGAAACTGGTAAATGTTTTGGATAAACCACCATTTGGTTTACTTTTACAGATAAGGAAAAAAAACCTACAGGAAAATGGTAAAAGATACAAGGAAGGGACAGCTTGAAGAATCTAGGAAAGAAAAAAATGCCAGGAAACTTCTAAAAACTAGCAATTAAAGTCATGAAATTGAAGAACTGATTATGAATGTAATGAGCAAAGACAACATAGGAAATTCTTAGGCGTATGTACATTGGACTCGGCCATATTAATGCCAAAGGTGACAGCATCAGTATGAACACATTCCAAATAACAAAATAAAAGGAAAGTAAATAAAATCCAAATAAAATAGGAAGCAGACAACAGATCTGCATTTAGTTGACTTCCTACAAATAATAAATAACCCAGAATGTGGTGGAGTATCAAATGTGACAACACGCACCGTGTATCCTGCCCTGGCACCCTGTTGACATCTCATGCATGGAAAGACATGGACGCTGATGTAGCTTCAGATCATTCTGCAATATTCAATCTGATTAGTTCATGGGGAAAAGTTTAGAGAATTGTGAGGAAAGAAGTTTGTGACCAAGGAACCATATGTCCTGCCAGCAAGTCAAACAAATGCATGAGCAAGAAAAGACATTCTCAGAAATGCAGTGGAGAGACAGGCGCGCAGCGGCTCCCGCCTGTGATCCCAGCAACCTGGGAGCCTGAGGAGGGAGGATTGCCTGAGTGCGTGAGTTCAAGACCAGCCTGAGC